CTTATATATTCAGGTTTGAGTTTCATTAACATTTTGGATTGACCCAGAGCACTGTAGTTGTTCAATAATTAAAATAACCCTAAAAAATACAACTTGCCTAATAATTGTGCACACTGTAAATGTTTTTGAGGAATTGACACACAATAGGGCTTGGATACGAGTTTATCCTTGTCACACACTGCCAACATAAAAAACTGACATTCACTAGAGACAATCAACATAATTTATTCTTGATAAGGGAACAGTTTGCATATACACCAGGGAAGTGGTTTACAAATGCTAAGATCTCTAAAGCTATAAAAACAATCATCAAAGATCACATTTGTTACCTGTCATTGCATGTAGGCTCTACGCTGGTCCCACAGGCCTTGTACACTTTGTTTTTTGGACACGTGTGCTCTGTAAAATTGAAACATGTTTATAAACACATTTTATCAAAACTCCATGCAACACCTATACTTACAGTATATACCCTATTGACTTTATCTTACCACAGCGCCCATTGGTTGCATTCCTCCAGTCGATACAGACTCCTTCATTAGAGCACCCAGTGGCATAGGCCTCCAGGCTGGTGCAGGTGTTATTGTCACTGTTGCAATTGTCAGACACACAGGATTTCACAAATGGTCCCGGAGGTATGACTGTGTGGCATGCCTTGAAAACACTAGAAGGAACATACAAGCCAGTACAGAATGTCAAGGAAAGTAATACGAAAAATATAAACATAATCTAAGATGTGAAGGAAGGCAATCAAATAACTCAGCATGCATTTCAGTAAAGATTACATAATTTTTCTCAACCCTTATTCTCTTACTTTAAATTGTTTTCTTATTTTTATCGTCAAGTAACTATTACTGGTAAAGTGTTGGTTGGACTAATAGTTTGATAAAAAAAACGTCAACATCTTTGTTTTTGTCAAGTTTTAGTTAAATAAAGGTCTGGGCTTCTTAGTCAAAGAAAATCCCTCAATACTTTTGCCCAGTTTATGTCAAAATGAAATGTTGATATATTAGTATTTTTTTAATCTTCAGATTATATTGAAGACTTGAGCTATAATTGAACCGTCTTTCTTTCTACCAAAGCCCTGTAGTTGTCATTGTTACTTTCAGTAAATACATTATCTGAAGACGTTAAAGACGTCACCTGCTTGTTAGGATATTACAAATTGCAGGTTTGCAAGGGGGCTGCGTTGTGGTTGCTGGTTTTGAGGTGGTTGTGGGTTTTGTCGTTGTCGATGGGGTTGTGGGGATAACACACGGTGTGCCTGGGACATGCCACTGGCCTGCGGAGTCTGAGCAGCTTTCCACCTGGCCGTTTGGAGAGCGACAGTCATTGTTCTGTGAGTTATCACAGGTCCCTGGAAAAAGAGACAGGAGAATGAAGGCAACTTTTTTGGGCTCATACAAGAACTAGCTGTTATGATAATGGTTAGGGTTAATACATCCACCCATCCTGATGTGAGAGGCAAGAGACAGGGCACACCCTAGACACATTGCCGGGTCATCACATGCAACAGCCTTTCATGCTCATATGCTCTAATATGACTGCTGACATGGCTGGTCTTGTTTTCTCTTTGTCTGCTGATTCCAGATAGCTGAGTTAAAGTTCCAACACGGTAAAATCCTTCTTTTTACTCTAAAAAATGTATTTGAATATAAAAGTCTCTTTAGCAGTGTTAGACTGTCGACTCAAATTTACACTTTAGTTTTGAAACTAAATCCGAGCCTTGGCTAAATGCGACGACTCGGGCTGCCCGACGTGAGTGCCGTAGAGCTGAAAGAAGATGGAATAAGGACAAACTACAAATCTCTTTTCAAATGCTGAGGCAGTGTTGGCGTCTCTATCAGAGAACTGTGAAACATTTCTCTGACATCATTCTTTTAAACTGTCACAAACCTTGTGTACTGTTTCAGACAATAGATTCAGTTCTTAATGCCCCTCAGACTACTATTATGGCCCCTGTTAAAAAGGTTTGTAATGTTATCTACTGTAAATTGGTCGAACGAATGCCTCCTCTTCCGGAAGCTGACCGAGCAGACCCGAGCAGCAGTCGAGCCGCAGTCGAGAAGAGCCGAGCGTATCCGCGAAGCACACAAAATGGCGACGTCAAAGTTCCCGTTACCCGGCGAATCTAAATCTCTTCGGTCAAAATAATTCAGTTGCGCCACTTATGTGACAGGCAAGAAGAGTATGTGACAGAAAAGAATAGTCAATTCTAATGTCTAACACTTAATGTGGAGAAAGAGATGTCCTGTATGGGTTGATTGTGCGTTGATCTGTTGGTAATGCCTCGGGGTTCCGGTGGGCATGTAAACAAATGCATAATGCTGCGCTATACTTTGTGGCCTCACCCAGTTGCATAGCAACACTTATTGTTTAGGTGTCTTTTAATAAGCAGGTAGTCCTATCATTAGCTAGAACTAGCTGGATCTGATTAATATGGACATAAACGCCAGTGAAGTCTAATCTGACAGGAGAGAGAGATCAGCTGCTGCTGACGAGTCGACACGCAGCTCTGCATAATCACATGCAGCGGTGAGCGGACAAAACACACACTTCAGGTTAGAATATCACACGTAGCTATTTTAATTACCTCTCAAACTACCTAAACTAGTTATAGATATGTTTAGTTGTCGGGTCACTCATTACTGGATCCGCGAGCTGCATGATACTGGCATAATAGATTGCCCGATCGGGCAACCAGCAGGTGAGGCTTCATTGCCCGAGCTAAATACTAGATGGCCCCGGGCCATCGGGCAGTCCTTAATGTCGAGCCCTGAATTATCCTTTTACTCCTTGATCTAACGGCCACTTTTGATACAGTGGACCATGAGATCCTGATAGCTCGTTTGGAGCAGTGGGTGGGCATTAGGGGCAAAGCCCTCGAATGGTTTAGGTCGTATCTGACTGGTAGGACTTTCTGCGTCAGCCTTGGGGAGTCCTCGTCTGCTCCTCTCCTTTGAGGGGTTCCACAGGGCTCAGTGTTAGGCCCCCTGTTATACTCCCTGTATTTGCTCCCTCTTGTCCATTCTTAGGAAGCACGGTATCACTTTTCATGCCAAATATATGTGCCACTTAAAAAGAACGACTCATATTCAGTTAAACCACTGTTAAACTGCCTTGAAGACATTAAGTCCTGGATGTCATGCAACTTTTTAAAATTAAATGA